TTAAGCTTGAACTCCATCTTTGACAAGCCTTGTACTCCTATGAAATCTCTCATCTCTTTAAATTTGATTCTTCCAAATGCTTTGGTTAACGTTGGATATTGTATGGATGTCGAAGAACCTCCCTCCTTTGGTCTTGTTGCTGCGACGAGATCACTCATTCCTCCATGATCTTCGTATTTGCTCTGCTTGTTAGAATCCCATATCGGAAGTTTAAAGGGATTAACACTAGTATATAAGGGATTTGAGCCTCTCCACTTATCGCCAATTAGTTTTAAGTTGGAAGTCCAGGAAACTTAACATGGTATCAGAACCTCATTTGTTGACCCCAAAAAGGTGGCCCAAGAAGGGTTTATTATTGGTCCTAAAGTGAGATTCGGTTCAAGATGGGCTAACAAGAGCCATCATCTCGAGGGGGCGTGTTAGAATCCCACATCGAAAGTTTAAAGAGACTAACACTAATATTTAAGAGATTTGGGCCTCTCCACTTATCACCAATTGGTTTTAAGTTGGAAGTCTAGAAAACTTAACAAACTCTACTTATAGATTATGGATTGAATAGAATCGGTTGGCAAGGAGAACCCATGTGTTCCCATTCAATTCTCGTGGGATGGATTGAATTGTAGAATGTCATCGCCACCGAGAATAATTTATTTGTAAATTCTATATAATCTAAAATTTAAATATGTTCTTTAATAACCAGAACTTTATCTTCAAGTGGCTTGACTGGAACCATACTAACTGAATTTCAGAATCTAACACATCTAGAAATTTTGTAAGTATGATTGTTACTGTTCATTTATTTTTAAAAAATGTTTGATATATGGACACAGAGCCAATAATGGTTCATTGTTTTTTCACATCCCAGGGATTTTTTTCACATAACACTTTGAGTGAAATGGTGCCCCAGTTTCACATATCTATGAAATCTTTGTTGGTCATGTCATAAAGATCTTTAGTTTCTTTACTAATCATGCTTACACTAATCATGCTTACACGAATGATGAATCATATTTGTGACATATGAATTTTCCTCTACTTGGACAAAACTTGAGTGGTAACAATCGTAGCGGTTCAATTCCTCAAGTTCTTCGCGATAGGGAAACAGGACTAAAGTTATAGTAAGAAAGATTTTAATATGATCTTTACTTTATAATCAATCATTATCCCAACTTAAAACATTGATTCAAAAAAAAAAAAAACATTGACTCAATATTTTGATGAATTCTTAATTTTTTACAAGTGTTTTTCTTAGCACGTATTAAAATTATAACTAGTTATAAAACTTCCACTATCTACTAAATCCTAGTTTGTCGTTGAAATTATTCAATGTAAGACCGCGAAAATCCGATTGAAATCACGAATAGAAAATAGCAATATTATAAACGATATGTTAAGGTAAGAGATTAAAACGAGAGTTTGAAAACCGATTGAAAACAGACGAAAACACGGAGTCGAGATATGATCTCTTTCTTTAACTCAATAAATCGCCCATATGTGTGACGGTTTGTTGCGATTTTTGAATCCCAGGATACAACCGTGATGAGACTATTACGCAACACCCGTAATAGAATCTGCGAACTAAAATACTACGCTATAACTCTCGAGACACTTACGATATTAAGACGAGAGGGATTTGCTGTGTGTTTGGAGTATTCGAAAATTCGATTCTTAATTCGATGATATAGAATGAGAGAAGAGGGCGTCTATTTATACTGGAAGGTTCAGCTTGATCCGCAAGGAATAAGCTTTTGCGAAAAGGAATATTACGAGATATTCTCCTATTTCCGCGAGTAAAAGGATTCGGAAATATTCCGTTATTATCTGGACGCAATCTTTTATTTCCTAAGATTTATCCTTTCAATATGCAAAAAATATTACGCAGGAACTAAAAAGCCCACGACCCACACCCAACTATATAAAGCCCAAGAGCCCAAGAGCCCAAGAGCCCAAGAGCCCTAAGAGCCAATTAAAAAATGAAATGAGCAACGAGCCCGAGCCCGAGCCCGGCACCGGCATGCACCGGCGACGGCGGCGGCGCGCGTAGGTGTTTTTGCATAACGCCATTTTACTTCCACAATGCTGTTGACCCTTATTGTGAGAAGACCATATATATACTAGAGATTTTTCTCCTTGGTGAGCAATGTGTGACAAATACACTTCCACTAAACTTCCACTTTTAGTTATAGCCAATAGGAACATTTCATTTCCATAGGCTTAAACCCAAATCTCAAATGAATTTATAAGGCCCATTTGCTTATTAAACTTCATTTCTTATTCACACACAAACTCAATATTACAAGTCCAAATGCTTATTAATATTGGGTTCCAACATTCAATTATGTTAACCAAGAAAAATATTAACTATTCAACTGTTTTTACAATTCTCTTTGATTAAAGTTCTGAGTTTTTTGGTTTTCCATTACTTAATTTCATGATTCAAATATTCCGCTATTATGCTATCTCTTCTACCATTTTGTGTAAATAATAAACGTTTATAACTTTGCCAATCTATCGTCATTACTTCGATCTTCTTTTGTGGTTATAGTGCAAGATAATCAGTGTTGTGTTATATATGGATTTGAGTTCTGATGATAGTAGGTTTTTATCATAACTTGCGACAGTCAGGTTAAGGAGATTAGTGAACAGGTTTGACACATATGTGCATATGAAAATGAGTTATGATTGTTCACTAATCTAAGGTTAATTCGTGTTAATAATTAGGGTTTGATAACTTCGATCTAAGGTTTTTATTTGCATGTGTAAAACATTAAATAAACCGGTTTGACAACTCATTTTTATTTTTTTTTGAATTTGATATATGCATAGAAAATGCTTAGCAAACTAGGGTTTTCATTTTCTTTTAATAAACAAATCAGGGCTTAGCGATTCGGCAGTCATAGACAAAAAAAAAAGATGATGATAAAGTTCGAGCGAACACTACAATCATCTTCACATGAAGATGATAGTTGTCAATCAGACCATATTCCTCACGACTTAATCGTCGAAATACTCTCAAGACTGCCTGCTGCAAAATCTATCGTGAGATCACGAGCCGTCTCTAAGCTCTGGTCGTCCATAACCACCACTCCAGATTTCATCAACTCATTCCAGACTCCGTCCTCCCCATCACGGCCCTGTATTCTGCTACTCTTCAGATAACTCGACAAGTGACAAATTAGGTTTATGGTATTTTCTGTTGTATTACTTTGGGTCATAAGACCTCTATTTATACACATTACAAGAGGATATTCTCTAAGTTATACATGGAAATAGAATATCCTAATATCCCCCCTCAAGTTGGAGCATACAAGTTTGAAATGCCCAACTTGGACAAGAAAACATCAAATTCCTTCTTCCCTAATGCTTTGGTAAGAATATCAGCAAGTTGGTCCTTTGTAGAGACATGAACAGGTGCGATCAAGCCACGAAGAATGTCGTCACGTATAAAATGACAATCCACTTCGACGTGTTTAGTTCGTTCATGGAAAACCGGATTCGCACTAATGTGGAGAGCTGGTTTACTGTCACAGAAAAGTGACATGGGTTGGACGTGGTCATATCCCATGTCACGGAGTAAAGCTTTGATCTATCGAAGCTCTGCAGTAACTTCGGTCATAGCTCGATATTCAGCCTCTGTCGATGATCGAGAAACCGTATCTTGTTTCTGACATTTCCACGAGACAGGTGAAGAACCAAATTGAACAATGTAACCTGTGAGGGATCGTCGTGTCAAGGGGCAGGCAGCCCAATCCGAATCACACCAACCACTGACATGGAAATTGTCTTCAGCTCGAAGAAGGATGCCTTGACCCAGAGTACCCTTGAGGTAACGTACCACTTTCAACGCTGCAAGCTAATGTGCCTCCTTGGGTGCATGCATAAATTGAGAGAGCACATGGGTTGAATACGCAAGATCAGGTCGTGTCGCAGAAAGATAAATGAGTCGTCCCACCAAACGACGATAACGTTCTGGATCAGCAAGTAATGGACCCTCAGCCAGACTTAATGTATGATTCTGATCAAGGGGAGAACCTGCTGGTTTGGAACCAAGTAAACCCATTTCTTCCACGATTTCGGTTGCGTATTTGCGTTGACAAATATAAATACCAGATGGACCACGAGCAACTTCCAAACCAAGGAAGTATTTGACAGCACCAAGGTCTTTCATGCGAAAACACAAAGACAAATAATCTTTAAAAGATTTGATCGCCTCGGAAGTGTTGCCTGAGATGATTAAATCGTCAACATAAACCAAAATCCGGAGAGATATGTTATTCTTCGAGTATACAAACAAAGAATAGTCAGCACGAGATTGAGTGAAACCATAAGCGAGAAGTGCATCGGCCAGTTTAGCAAACCAACATCATGAGGCTTGTTTCAAACCGTACAACGACTTTTGTAGGCGACACACTCTCGTTTCACCGTCTGGACGAAAACCAGGAGGAAGTTTCATATAAACTTCATCATGCAAATCACCATGAAGGAATGCATTATGAACATCCATTTGGTGAACTTCGTGGTTCTTTTTCGCTGCATAATCCAAAAACGTACGAACCGTTTTCATCATTGCTACCGGAGCAAAAGTCTCATCGTAATCAAATCCCTCCTCTTGATGGTCATCACGAACAACGAGACGCGCTTTATACCTTTCAATAGTTCCATCTGAGCGATATTTCGTAGTAAAAACCCATTTACAACCGAGAGCCTTCTTATTGGGAGGTAGGTCTTCAAGACGCCAAGTTTGTAATTCTTCAAGAGAGTTATATTCAGAATTCACTGCATTCTCCCAATGTTTGTGTTTCATGGCCTCTAGAAAAGAACGTGGCTCAATGTTCGTGGTCAAGGCCATTACAAATTTACGATGGTTAGGGGAAAACCATTCAATGGAAACATAGTTAGAGAGGGGATAAAGCGAACCTGAGGATGACTGAGGAGGAGGTGAACCCGATTCTAGAGAGAGAGGGGGAGGAATGCCTGAAATCGTGTCAACAACGTAATCATGAAGTTTGACATTTCTGATCTTAGTACGACAACCCCTACCAAGCTGTTCTTGAATCTGAGCAGGTGGCGGTGCCAGACTGTTATCGGCAATAGAGTCTGGTGTATCAGATACAGGAGTAGGAACAACAACGGGGACAGGAGGTTCAGAGTCACCATTGTCGTCAAATGAGTCAGCGGTGAGAACTGGTCCATCGTCAACGGGTATGTTCGTCATTGGAGAAGGAAGCATATCATCATTAGAAATTGCCACCGAGGTAGAGTGAGTAAATGGAAACTCTGTCTCGTGAAAAATAACGTCACGAGATGTGAAGATGATATGGCGCTCCAAGTCATACAGCCTCTAGCCCTTTTTTCCATAAGGGTAACCCAAGAACATATATCTCCTACTTCGGGAAGCAAACTTGTCTCCTTTGTGATCCAGATTATGAGCATAAGCAAGACATCCAAAAACACGGAGGTGTTTATAACTTGGAGGGTGTCCATATAGTCGTTCAAAAGGTGTTTGATTCTGAAGCAGAACCGAAGGAGTGCGATTGATGAGATATCCTGCAGTTAATATACATTCTCCCCAATACTCAATCGGGGTTCGCCTGAAATCTGAGAGCTCGGGCAACATTTAAAATGTGTCGATGCTTCCTCTCAGCACGACTATTTTGTTGTGGTGTATGAACACAGGATGTCTCATGGTGAATGCCATTTTCCCGGAAAAATTGTGTCATACACAAAAATTCACTCCCATTGTCGCTCCGTATGGTTTTGACTTTGGTGGTGAATTGTCGCTCAATCATCGAAAGAAAATTACGAATCTGTTGTGAAACCATGGTCTTATCGGTGAGAAGATAAAGCCAAACAGCTCGAGAATAGTCATCCACTATCGTTAGGAAATATCTAGAGCCACAAAAAGCTGTTGTCCGATAAGGCCCCCACAAATCAACATGTATTAAATCAAAAACTGCTTTTGCATTATTCAAACTTTCTGGAAAACTTTGCCGAGTTTGTTTAGCTCTAAGGCATACATCGCACTTTTTAAGTAAAGACTCCGTACTACTAGAATAACTACTAACGCCTGGAACAATGCCAGTGATCTGAGATGAAGGATGGCCTAAACGATGGTGCCACAAAACCATATCCGCAGAAATACTTGTCTGAAACACTGCCATTTCTTCAATGCTCCGAAACCGGTATAGTCCCTCTCCCTCTCGTTCACCCGCTCCAATCAGCATCCTCGAGGCGCGATCCTGCAAAATCATCAACTTGTCAGTAACTTGTCCAACCAAAAAATTATCTGTCGTAAGCTGTCCAAAGGAAATCAGGTTTGTGTGAAATCCTTCGACATAGAAAACATTCTGCAAAGATAATCCAGAAGTCAGATGAACAGTCCCCTGTTTTGATGCATATGCATCCGAATCGGCTGGTAAAATCACTGAGAGAGGAGAGATATCCCGAATATCGGTCAACAAGTCAATACGTCCAGTCATGTGATGTGTAGCTCCTGTGTCTAAAATCCATATATTATCGATGTTCTTACCCCCTGAATTTGCAGCAGATTTACCAGCATTGATTATCCGCTGCACCACACTCCACTGTTCATCCGTAAGACCTGCCAAACCAACTCGATCATTATCTGTGATCAAAGCAGTCGTTCCCATTGCAGCAGAGTTAGCTGAAGGAATCTGCGTGCTGTTTGCACGAGGAGTAACACGACCAGGAGCTGCAGAATCACGAGAGGAACCCTTGCCACCACCTCGACCACGCGATTTATCTTGCCACCATTCCGGGTAACCAATCACCTTGAAGCATGAAGTCGAGTCATGACCCATCTTGCCACATACCGAACAAAGACGAGAAGGGTCACGATTCTGAGATCCACCTCCAGAAGCAATATCCCGAGTCCAAACTTGGGAAGAACGAGATGCAGGAGCAGCTTGGGAAGCAAAACCCATGACCGGCATCGTCGGATCAACATTCATACGGATTGTTTCATTTTGCAGAATCGTCTGGTAAACGGTGTCCAAGTCCGGAAGAGGAGAAACAACGCAAACTTGAGATCGGATGACCCCATGAACAGAATCATCGAGCCCTGCGAGAAAATCATGGACCCGAAGAATCTCTTTCTCTTTGTCGTGCGCCGTGTTGAGATCACATTCGCACTTCCCACATGTGCAGCGTTTAGAGGACATACACTCCTCAATTGCATCCCAAATCTTGGTTAAACGACCAAAATAGTCGTCGACGGAAGATCCGTTCTGTTTGCAAGTGGCTAAAGAGTTTCGAAGCTGCTGAAGGCGAGCACCACTCTTCACAGAAAAACGTTTCTTAATGATGTCCCATAAGTCTTTTGCAACCTCGCGAGTGGAGATGGAGGAACGAAGACGCGGTTCAATCGTGAGTTTGATCCAACCGATGAGAAGGTGATTGTTGGCAGTCCAATCTTCAAGCTTTGGGTCGTCATCTTTTGGTTTTTGGATGCTCCCATCCAGAAAACCGAATTTTTTCCTTGAGCTGAGGGCCATACGCAGATTGCGAGCCCATTCTTCATAATTCAAGCCGTTTAGGAGAGGCTGTGAGATTACGGCACCGGGATTGTCGCCTGATGTGAGATCAAAGGGCGAGATTGTCTTGTACTGAGCTTCCTTGGTAACCATAGCCATCGTTATTCTCCGATTAGGGAAAGAGACGTCGTCGTCGAAGAACAAAGAAGACTCTGTTTTGAAACCAAAAAAACAGAGACGCACACTTGGAGAAGGAGGCGTCGTCCAACAAAAACGAGCACTTGGAGAAGCTTTCGTTGAAGGAAGACGAACCCTTGGAGGAGGTGTCGTCGAAGAGGAAGACGAGCGCTTGGAGAAGGCGTCGTCGGAGAGCAGAAGAAGCTCTGTTTCAAAGTCGCAGAACAGAGCACTGATAGACGAAGAAGAAAAGAGAAAAAAACTGTGGAGACAGCACTTGTCGAGAGACTAGCGCCGTCAACCAAAAAAAAACTTAGGTCTTTCAGATCAAAAGCTCTGATACCATGACAAATTAGGTTTATGGTATTTTCTGTTGTATTACTTTGGGTCATAAGACCTCTATTTATACACATTACAAGAGGATATTCTCTAAGTTATACATGGAAATAGAATATCCTAATAACAAGCTTTTTCGTTTTCTCTTCTCTGTTACACCAGAATAAACCCGAAGAACCTTATCCTGATCAAATGGAGAATATACTATATGTTAATGATTATCACAGCCGTTATGATTCCGTCAATTGCTTGATTTGCTTGAAAAAATCTACACGGTTTGAGATTTTGGAACCCAACCATGAGACGCGTCTTTAGTTTATATAAGCCAGCTGAATGGGATGCAAACATATGATCTTTCTTGGGATATGATCTGTTTGATGGTATATACAAAGCGTTATGCATTTTCAAATTCGGAAAGATTGGCATATTTACACTGTGAGGAGTTCAAGAATCATGGAAAATAATATCCATAGGTATCCCTAAGCATTTACCTACTACAGCTCCTTTGCGATGCATCAATGGTGTCATTTACTACGAAGCTTTTATACCTTTGGCTATGAATCATGCCACAATGAGCTTTGATCTCAGATCTGTAAAGTTTAGTTTGATTAAATATCCCAATGCAAATACGGGAAGTTGGATGATTGAAAATCTTGTTTCAGCTTAGACACATCTTCTGTGTTATTGCTGGTGATGATAATATCATCGACATATATTAAGACAGCCATGTATATTCCTGCAGTATTTCTCACAAACAAAGTGTGATCGTGTGATTTATGTAATTCAAGCTTCAAGAGAGTATTGCTGAATTTGAGAAACCACTGCCTTGAGGCCTGTTTTAAGCAGTAAAGAGACTCTTGAAGTCTACAAACTGCATTCGGAGGAAGACATTCTCCTTGCCGTGGTGTATAATTTGGAGGAAGAGTCATGTATATTTCCTCAGTTAGATCACCATTAAGAAAGGCATTTGAGATGTCTAGTTGATCAAGGCTCCATTTCTTTGCAGCTGCGACTGCTAATAATGTCTTGACTGTCGTCATGTTTGCTACTGGAGAGAAGGTATCTGCAAAATCCACTCTTTCTTCCTGTGTGTAGCCCTTTGCTACAAGTCGAGCTTTGTAGCGTTATAAGCTACCATCAGCATTCAGTTTAACTTTGTAAACCCATTTACAGCCTATGGCGTGTTTACCAGCTGGTAAAGAGCATATGGTCCAGGTCTGAGATCGTTCCAAAGCTATCAGCTCTTCATTCATTGCTTTGAGCCATTCATCAAATTTCTTGGTTTCTCTGAATGAGGACGGTTCTGAATGAAGAGTCCCAGATCACATATAAGCTTTGTAATCATCCAAGAATTTGTTGTAGGACATATATACAGCAATGGGATATGGAATATCCGTTTCAGTTATATTGCAGTAGTAGTCTTGAAGATATGCAGGAAGCTTTGTTAAATGTTTGTTGATACTTGGAGAGTCTGACTGAGCAACTACATCTGTCTCGTTTGAAGAAGAGTGAACGCTGTCTCCTATAGGATGGAGATCAAAGCTCCCTGTACGCTCAGAACATTCACCCTTTTCAGAGGTAGATAGTGCTGCAGGTGTATCAACATCAAAACAATCTGGATCGGTGTTAAAAGATTCCTTTGCAAATGGAAAAATGTCCTCATGAAAGTCTACATTTCGTGAAATGTGTATCAGTTGAGTTTCCAAGTGAAGCAGTTTGTATCCAGAATGATAGCCAAGGATAACACATGCTTTTGCACGTGGTTGAAACTTAGTTCTTTTCTTTTAAGCAGTAGCTAGACAACCAAATACACGCAAACCATTATAATCAGGGCGTTTAGAAGTTAGAACCTGATATGGTGACTTGTTTTTCAAAAGAGGTGTTGGGAGTCTGTTGATCAGAAACACGACAGTTAGAATACAATCTCCCCAGTATTCTAGTGGCATATTTTCTTGAAACATGAGGGATCTAGCAACATTTAGGATGTGCTGATGCTTGCTTTCGAAGATAGGGTTTTGTTCTGGGGTTTCTGGGCATGAATGGTAAGCTGTTATGCCTTTTTCCTTGAATAGATAAACAAACTTCAGTTCAGGGGCATTATCTGATCGTACTCCCTTGACAACAGTACCATACTGTGTTTCCACCATTTTTAAGTAATCAGAGAATATTGTTAGAACGTCGGACATTGCTCTTAATAGAATACCCAAGTTACTCTGGTGTGATCATGGACGATTGTGAGGAAGTACCTGTATCCTTCAACTGCAGACACAGAAAAAGATCCCCATATTTTAATATAAATCAGATCAAAAGCATTATCACATATATTGTTTTGAGAATTATATGAGAGATGCTTTTGTTTGGCAAGAGGTCAAATAGAACAATGAAATGGGTCTTTATTTCTTTGTTTTATTTTCAGTACATCTGTAAGTAAATCTACTTTAGATACAGATGGATGCCCTAGTCTATTATACCATAACTCTGAATCAATAACAAGATTTGTTTTGTATTATCCTTGTAGTGAAGTAGACTCATCAATGCGATCACTATCCAGAACGTATAGGTTTGAAATTTGTTCATCCTGACTAATTGTCAATCCCTTGGTAAGATCTTGTATCAGACAAGTAAATTCATCAAGTATGACTCTCTATTTTAAATCCCTTGTCAGTTTCATTACGCTTAGGAGATTTAGTCTGAAATCAGGTATATAGAGGACATTGTTCCGCATCAAAGATGGATTCAGTTGAATCTGTCCAATGCCTACAATTTTTATATCTAAACCAGTAGGTAATGTTACCGAGTTATTCACAGAGGTGTTCATGCTTACAAACAAATTCTTATCATGTGAAACATGATGAGTAGCACCACTATCCACAATCCATGATCTAGATGATAAAGCATTTCCTATTGCCCTTAAAATTCCAACAAAATGAAGAGTATTTGAAGAGATAGCCATACCAGGAAGAGCTCTTATCGTACCACCAGAAGTTGGAGGAACAGTGGGATCAATGGAGGACGGTAGCTAAGAATTGAAGTAGCAATGAGTTTCTGAATTTGATCCTTCAAGAATGTCTTGATCATACTTTCTGTGTTGTTTCCATCCGGTTGAGTGTTGGCTAGAGTAAGATTAGCAACAACTGGTTTAGACGACTCAGGTTTCTTTTCTGCTGAGTTCGGTTTGCCCTTGTGCTTGAAACCAGGTGGTATCTGTGTATCTTGTAACACTTATCAACAGTAAGACCATTATAATCACAATGACTTTATACAAGACGAGGCTTCTGACCATTGTATGTTGAATGTGTGGCATTAACACAGTCTAGTTCCAGAACTGAAACATTGAATGTTGAAGCATTCTGACTAGGATGAATATTCATCTGGTTGAAATCTTAATCGAGAAGATTATTAGTTCACTGGATATTATCTCCTAGTCTCTACTGCAATAGAACAGCTTGAGATTGTAATGTAAAAGATTCGAAATCCAGAGGACCAGTGTTACTCTATGACTCTACAGGACTGAAACAAAGCTAAGAGAAAAGATTACTTGATTGTAAATTTTGTGACAAGTAAAAGAACACAAATGACAACTAAAATTTGATTAAAACAAACACTAGACTAAGGCAATTCGCAGGAATTTCAAAGATAGAAATCGAATGACTATTCAGGACACAGTTAGCAAGTCTCGAACTCAAATATAAATGCATATGGACCCACTGTCGTGGCATCGACAACTTTGTCTAACAACCTAAATTCTAAACTGTCGTTTGAACCTAGAAATCGTAGACAAGTATTAAATAGCAGGTTTGATCTGTTCACGATTTTCCTTAACATTAACTGCCGTTGGCAAAGGACAAATCGCTCACCAAAGTTTTTTCTAGCAACCTATTACACTTTTGGTGAACAGGTTAACCCAAAATCGCAGATTGAGTGATCAATTCAACCTAAGCATTAAGAATAAAAATGGTGAAGACAATCTATATTAAGCCCTATTTGCATTCAATTTACTAACTTATGAAAATCCCTTGAAAACCTTAATCTAGCTAGAGAATCTACTCAGACATGGCGAAAAAAAAACAGCAAGAGATGAAAAGAAATTCATGAATAAAACTCAGAGATAAAAAGGGTTCAAAATTCTTTTCAAGTGTTGTAGGAATTCTTCTCCCAAATCTTACAAGCCAAAACTCCAAAAGGTCTAGAGAATGTAAAAAAATAAAGCGTGATAGAACGTGTGTTTGTTTCTGAGGCGGTTCCCCTTTTTATTCTCTTCCTTGCGTCCCAAAACTAAGTAAAAATCGTTTTTCTTATTTTTTCCGGAGGTTGGACCAGGTGTTCCATGAAATGGGTTAGTCGGGAGCAGGTGCTCCGACTAAAAATGATCGATTTGCATGTGAATTGGGCCCTTTTTGCTCAGCTTCAACTCCTCTTTACATCAAAAGCTCCAGCTGCTCCAATCCTTGCTTAAGGCCTCCTAGATACCTGAATCGATCTGAAGAAGACTCCAAAGACTCCTAAAAAGTTCAGTAAACACGGGTTATAATGAGTCAAAATCGCTACTTATCAACTCCCCTGGACTTAGATCTTTGTTTGTCCTCAAACAAAGTAAAATCTAGTTCCTGAAAAAATTATTGGACAATGGTGGGAACTTGCAAAGACTCAGAAGACCGTAAATTTGACCACAACCTGCGGACCACATGTTGCAACATCAATCCAAATCGAACCACCATGTACTTCTCCGCAGACATTCGCAGCTTCCCAGATTAAATCCATAGTTTCACGATAATATCCATCGCTGGGTCTCACCGATGAAACCAATGCCAAAGACGTTCTAGACTCATTCCCATATTATACCACGACACAAAGGTACTCTTCCTCTCCCTCAGTCTTATTCATTTGCAAGCTCTTTTTTTTTATCAAGGTCGTAGGTGAATAATGGGATCACGGGAAACTTTTCTACCCCTCACTTCCAATCCTTGTGTGATCACTTCTTCTAAAGTAAAATAGTGAGGTTCCGAGAAATTTTCCTACCCCTTTACTTTGGAAGAAAATCATCTAATTTTTTCATTTTTAGTTAATGCTTAGAATAAGGGAGAGGAGTACCAATCTTTTCATCACACATGTCCTTGTTTGTCAGGTATGAATGCGGAGTCAAGCCCTATGAACACCGATCACATCAATGAGGTTAAAAAAGCTCAGAAATCAGCTCAGGTCAATGGATTCTGTCAGAAACATGGACGCCTCTAGTTAGCCTGTCAGCCTTTGTATTTTTCATTAGTCAGATCTAGACTGGTCACTAGAAAAAAATGGTCAAAATTCACAAATGGTCTAAACTCATCACAGCTAGTTCCCACAACTTTTGACTTGACTCATGAAACAAACTAACTCAAAGAAACAAAATGAAAACTGGCTCAAAGAAAATACTAAAAGAGAGAAAGCAAAAGAAAGAAGTAAACAGAGACATGACCCTACTGCACACCATCCACGGTGTGAAAATAAGCTAGAGAAATGCCCAGAAAACTTACTTGGTTCGTGCATGTAGAGCGCCTTGGCAGAGCCGATGTTCCGAATGAAATAGGGTGCTCCTTCGTCGTCTCTCTCCGTGGCAAGCACCCTGTGGAGCAGGTGCTCCGACTAGGTGAGCAGCTAACCCAGCAGATGGAGTGGGTGCTCCGGTTGGTTGCTCATTCTTCTTCCTCACATCCTTTCTCCACGATGGAAACCTTCTTACCTGTTCTTTTTATTTCTATTTTGATAAAAAGGAATAAAAACAAAACCAAAAGTTAGTAGCAAAGAAAGTAAAGACACAAGTTATAAACTCTTACCGCTGGGTAGCCTCCCACCAAGCATTTGGTTTAAGTCACTAGCTTGACTTGGTTAGCCATTTAGGCCTGAGGAGCATCGTCTTCAACGTTTGGGCCTGCGAGGTATGGCTCCAATCTCTGCCCATTGACAACAAACTCTCCTCCTTTAGTGTCCAGCAACACTACAGCTCCATATGGTCGAACCTCTTTGATTGTGAAAGGTCCAGACCACCTTGATCTCAGCTTTCCAGGAAAAAACTTCAACCGAGAATTAAACAGCAGCACCTGATCGTTTGGTGCAAAGTTTCTATTGAAGATCCTCTTGTCATGGTAAGCCTTGGTTCTATACTTGTAGATCCTCGAGTTGTCATAAGCCAGATGCCTAATTTCTTCAAGCTCGTGCCGCTGCATTGTTCTCCTCTCATGAGCACTTTTGACATCAAAATTCAGCAACTTCATGATGGGCTTGCAGGCCTAGGGTTGTTTTTTAAAAAGCCTGTTGGTCCTCCAAAAGTTTTAAATTTATAAAACCCTAGTGTCTGCAAGTGCACAGATGTACGTTGTAGGACTTAGGGTGTTGATCCACAGGGAGGATGTCTAATCTGCGAGAAACAACAAACTGGGAAGTAAGCAAAGTCATAAACCAATAAAAATTTTGGAATTTTTGGTTAAGAATCCTAAACTAAACCTAATCTTATATTCTCAAGAAAAGCAATGCAGGATGAATTGTGATAACACCGAATTTTGACAATTTTTATGGATCACTTTAATGTTTTTTACAGGTGTTTTTACTCCATTTTCAAAGGTTTTCAAAGGATTTCTATGTTTTCGGATTTTAAAAGACTTTTCAGGTAATTTGGGATAAAGAGGCACAAATTGGAACAAAAAGACTCTTTTGGATAAATGCAGACCGTTAGAACTCTCATGGAGAGACGAAGACCTTCTCACCGTTTGATCACCCTCAAAATTGGACAACGTATAGAAGAATCAACCAGCTTTCAAATGCACTTGGTTTGGAGACATTCCAACGATTGGATCTCAAGATATTCCATTAGCCCCGGAGCCACTCGAAGGTGGCCAGCAAGTCACGCGACCGCGGCCAACAGCTCATTTCCCGCGGTCACAAGCCTCCCAACCGCAGCCAACCACCTATTCCCCGCGGTCACGTCACTCCCGACCGCGGCCGTCAAACTCCAAACTAAAGCCCATATTTTTGAAGCCCAAAGTCATTCTCAGCCTCAATTCCGGAACCCTAGAGACCATGGAGTATTGAAGACTATAAATACTTGTCATTTATGTCGTTTTTAGAAGAACCCTTCATACTTTACAGAAACCCTTTTTCCTTTAGCCGTTTTTATGGGATTTTTGTAGAAGATTGTTCAAGTCCGAGTTTTTCATCTTATTTCTTTACTGTTTTTTATTACTTTTATTAAAACCAATGATGATGTCGACCTCAGCCATGTCTGAGTAGATCCCGAGTTGGGCTTAGGGTTCCCGAAAGGGGCTCTCATAATCAATTAAGACATCTAGGTTTATAGATCTGGGATTTCAACTTTTTTCTCTGTTTATTCTTGTTCTTATTGCATGTATGCTTGATTGATCACCTAGTATCTGATCTAGATAGTTAGTGTTGCGAAAGTTTTCATTAAGTATCAGCCCTAGAATGAAACAGGCGATTATTCCGTAGGAGTGGAAACCTACCTGCGGCGAGATCGTGAATATTGACGAGTGTTTTGCAGCTCTTGCGTTCTCTCCCTTCCAGGGCCAGAGTGGAAACCTACTGGTCAGGGTTGCGAGAAACAGTTGGTTATGATCACAACAGTGACGTAGTCATACCGCCGTACTCTAGCTCTAGAACCCTATATATCGATATCCGTCAATCCCAATCTATCTACCTTAGTGTTAAAACCGATTATGATCCCGTAGAGTTCCCAAAAACTCAGCGTTTTTAGCCATAGTTTAAAAACCAATCGATTTTACTTGTTTATTTAGATCTGCATTTCAATTGCCTTAGTTTGATATTTACTTGCTTTACTTGCTTTCCATTCGATTTTTCTACTTGCTTTCTAGGATAGATTTATTTGCTTTCTTTAAGTTTTAGTTTAATTCGTGATAAACAACCAACCTTTAAAACCAATCTAGTCTAGACATAAAGTTAAAAACCGTAGAAGAATACCAGGCACACAAATCTCTGTGGATTCGATCCCTAAATACTACAACTGATTAGCGGTGCACTTGCGGCTTTCATTTGTTTTCTTAAGGGTAAAACTTGTTCCCTCACGCAGTTGACACACAATCAAGTTTTTGGCGCCGTTGCCGGGGATTTGTTTCGCTGCCTTTTGCTATTTTTCTTGTTTTAACTTCTGTTCTAGACACCTGATCTCTAGTTCTTTCTTAAAGTTTTGCTGAATTATTTTTCCCTTCTTTTGTTTTTCTCTGAATTGCATGAATACCAGGCGCAGACCTGTAGAAAACATTCCAATTCTAGACGAGATAGACAGACATGAAAGAGAACTTCGAAGACTTAGACGAACGCAAGGAATGGCCAACGACGACCAGCCTGGAGATCCTATTAACCAAGCTTTAAATATGGACCAAGACGGGTCCGAACATGGAGAAAATGAAGAGAATGATCACAGAGGAGGTGATCATGCTCGACAAGATGGAGAGGAGGATGTGGTTCCTCCAATAAACCACCAGAACCGCGAGAGAGAAGAGCGTGAAGACCTTGATGCACCCATCAATGCAGCCGATGGTGACCACCAAGGAATGCAGCCGAATGGGCGCGTTAACCGCCCTGTACAGCCAGCAAATCAACACCGAAGACAAACCAGGAACCATCGCATAGCTGATTTCGATGCACCTACTCAAAATTTTCAGAACCGATCTGCAATCCAAGTTCCATTTCCGAACCGGATGAGTTTGAAGTCAAGCCTCAAATCATCTCATTGGTGAAGCAAAACCAATTCCATGGAGTTCCTTCCGAACACACAATGGACCATATCGAGCTCTTTAAAGAAATCTGCAGCATGATGAGAACAAACCAAGTTCCAGCAGATTTCCAAGTCCTGGAGATGGATAAAGACAAGGAGAGGCCACTCATTTTCGGGAGACCATTCCTAGCTACCGTAGGAGCAGTAATCAATCACACAAACCCACATGCTGTTTTCCTCAATGTGGATCGCAGAAGGTACTACTCGACTATCTTAGACGATTTTCCAAGCAAGGGAAACAGGCCCAAAGAGAAAGAAAAAGAGAAGCCGAAAGCTTTTGCGAAGATCAAGATCATCATTCCACCAGATGCAACAAAAACTAGTGAGGACCAAATCCAGGAGCGAATCGAAAACACAAAAAAGGTTTTAAAGGAAAGAAGACGGCTCCTCAAGGAGAAGAAGTAAAACCTCCAACGACCGGGAGTGATAAGGACACATCAAGTGGAGTGCCATTCAAATCAGCCTGATTTTTCATGCCTACGTCGAGCTAAACGACTTAAAACAAAAGCGCTTAATGGGAGGCAACCCATTTAGGTACTTTTTCTTTTAGTTTCCTTTTCCTTTTTACAATTTATGCTTTCTTTTTCTTTTAAGTTTCAGGTATTTTATAAGACTAAAAAACACAAAAAAAAAATCAGAAAATTAGAAAAACCAAGAAGAAAAGGGTAGGTTTTTAGCTGCTTGGCCCGGCAAAGACCAGAAAGTTGGACAAAGGCCGCAGGAGAAAGAGCCGCGGTCGTGACCAACCAACCCGCGGCCAAAGGTGCATCGACCGCGGCACCGTGAATGTGACCGCGGCCGAGCCTTCAATTGCCGCGGTCGCGAGTCTCCTGACCGCAGCCGTTGGTTGTTGAGGTGACGATGCAGATTTCCACCACTTTTCGGAGTTCCCGGTGATTTCTGGAGCATTCCTGGTAAGGTCCGTTAAGATTTTCCGTAAGTTTTAAACCTTCCTTGCGTGCAAGACAAGAAATGTTAGTTCCCGTAAACTTAAAAATTCTCGGAAATTTTCCGTTTTTGCTACAAAAACGCTTTTTAAAGAAAAGAAATGCACTTTTTGGATCAAAACTCTTTCTTCTCTTCTCTTCCAAAAGACTTGGAGATTTAGGAGATAGAACCTTTTTTTTTCAATTCTTGAGCTTTTTAAGAGATTCTTGGCACAAACCTCACTATTTTTCAAAGCTGATTTCAAATCTGTCATCAAATCTCTCTTTCCAGCAAGGTATGAAGCTCAAACTCTCCATTTTTACTTGATTTTAGAACTTAGGGTTTTCTTAAAAAGCCCAAATCTTGGTTTATTGATGGTGGAAATAGCTTAAGAACAGTAGATTATCCTTTTAGGTTATCTAAAAATCAATTTTAACACCTAGTTTAAGAGAAATTGAGATTTTTGAAATTTGGATTCTACATGCTTCATAAAAATCGAATTTGGAACAGAAAAATTGATGAATCTGATTAAGTCTTGTGTGATTAGTGATTAGTATTAGGTAACCTATAGGTTTGACATGGAAATTGCCCATTAAAACCGATTTTTAGAAGATTTCTATGTTGAGAACATCAAAAATCCGAATCTAGTCATGAACTACTCGATGATAACACCGTATTTTGACCACTTTTATGGATCGTTTAGAAATACTTTTTCTATGTTTTTAATTGCTTTTAAGTACTTTTATTACGTTTTTCTAGTATTTGTAGTTCCAAGACTCTTTTCAGGTAACTTAGGGAAAAACTTAACAAAATGGATAGAAAACCAGATTTCAGCCATTTCCCGCGGTCAGAAGCATCCCAACCGCGGCAAACCACTCATTCCCCGCGGTCACAGCACTCCCGACCGCGGCAAGCCAACTCCAAGCCCAAAAGCCCATTTCTGAAGCCCACAATGATTCTCTCATTTGGAGAAACCCTAAGTGACGTCCAGAGCACTATAAATACATGTTTTAGGAACCCTAATCGAGAATCTATCAATAGACCACCGAATTTTTACTTCATACTTTTATTGTTTTTGCTTTAGCTTTTAGAGAGAGAGAGATTTGTTCTCTTGAACCCTTGTTCTTTCTTTTTCAATTTTGGTTTCTATTCTACTTATTAATACTCTGTTTTTGATTTCGTTCATTATGTCTGAGTAGTTCTATTGTTGGATTAAGGGATTTTCGATGGGGATTTATATGTTCGATGAGGATTCCATGTTCTTTTGAGCCAAATCTTAGAACTTTTTCTTCTGAATTCGTTTTTACTGCATGAGAGTAGCGTCATGAACTACAATCTGATCCAGATGCTTGGTGACACGAAAGTGTTCATCCGGTGTCAGATATAGTTTGGGAGAGCAAAACAAACATAGGAGTGGAAACCTACCTATGGGCGATTTGTGAATGCTGACGAGTCTTAAACATAATGCATCTCTTCTCTTCCATGGCCAGAGTGGAAACCTACTGGTCAGGGTTGAGAGAGATAGTTGTCTATGATCAC